GCGAGGTGACAGTAGCAATAACGACGTAACTTACTTATTAGGTAACCGATTGGTCGGAATGAATGTATATATATATATTATATTAATTTGAAAATTCATTTAATTCTTATCCACAACAACTATAATTATTATTTAACCTGTTTGCAATGGCTTTGTAATTTGAAATTTTAACAGTCATCGTAGAATAATAGTAATTGAAGGAAACTGCTTGTACAAAACTCTCCTCGGAGAAAATTTTAATTATTTTGACTAGACTGCTGAATTCCCATTTCCAAGCGATATAGAGGCAATGCGTCTTCTATTTATTTCGTGATGGCGACCCTTAGACACATTTCCCCTGCGGCATCTCGCGCACAGGGGTGGCTCTGGTAATTGAAGGTTTCGGTGTTGTTGCATCGTAAAGAATGACAGCGGGTAGGTTTTATTGAAGCCATAAAACTTGGACGAGGTTGCCACGGTGGCTCCTACCCCTGTCACTTTCCGCCGCAGCCCTTACCTTCCTAATAACACGACGAAAAGTAAATAAATAAACTGTTAATACTAACGTATTCAACAAGTTATTAATACCAAAGTACGTAGAGAGGACACTTTTCTAATTTGTTTTAAACTCTTTTCGCTTTCCTGTTGATGTAGATTTAGTTCCAATTCTGGACGGAAGTGGAGGGGGTAAATATTCCCACAATAATTTTCATAGTTTCGAGGTAATAAATGTCAGAACTCTTGGGAGGGGAAATTTCTCTATTAGGTCTCCCACCCTGCATTCGTCAGTCCCACTGCGTGGGTGCTTAAGACAGTTCACCACTCTTAGTGGTTGGAAATAATCAGAGGGAAAAGGGAGGGAGAAGTCAGAAGAAAAGAGTCACACATGTCCCCGACTAGAAATTAGTTCAGAGAACCTGGATTATGATCAGATGCGGATCAGATTTTCCGTAATACGGACATCTGATCAGTTTCTGATCAGAGTACAGTCCTCTATCCGTTGATCCACCGATCTGATCAGTTTCTGATCAGAGTACAGTACTCCATTCCTTGATCTAATCATCCGATCAGAAATTGATCAGCGCACAGTACTCTATCTGTTGATCCAACCATCTGATCAGAAATTGATCATAGTAGAGTATCCTATCCCTTAATCCAGTCATCTGACCAATTTCTTATCACAATCTAATGCTAAAAATTCTATTACGGTTTCGGTACAATCTTTAAATCAAGATTGTATCCGATGTTCTGAACTGGATCATAATACAGAACTTAATTTTTTATCTGATTTATTCTGTATGCAATACTGTTCGTCAAACCAACGGATCCGTCATGGATCTTAGAAACAAATCCGACAGGGATTTTTCAAATGGATCCTATGTTGATCATATATGGCGTGACGATTTTCCATCATACCCGGATCAAAAAGCCTGATTTATTTCTGATCAATCTTCAGGCAATTCTGATCGGCATCGGATCCAATCCACTAACTAATTTCCAGTCGGGTCGTTCTCGTTTCTCTGCCGTGCCGTGCCCGTCATGGGTCGCGAACTATCCAATCGTTCGAAATGTTACCTCATAATGATACGGCAAGTGATGATTACATATTTGATGGACAATGGAAGGATACGGTAGTAGCGCGGCATGAATACTGCACTAAATGTGTGAATCGGCCTTTATCCAACGTTTCGCCAGTAGCTTTGGTTGTTATTCTCAGAGAATGTAACGAAGATCCAAAGAATTAGTGCAACTTCAGCAACAGAATATAACTCTCTTTAGAATCCATGGTTATACTTTATATCCATTTTAAAACACCTACTTGAATGAAATAATGTAAAAATATGACCAGATATTTACTTTTGAAACGCATTATTCGTAATCATCCGTTAACAAGGAATTGAAGATTATAAATGCGTTCTGGCTGCTTCACTTACAATTCGCGTGTTCGTTTGTATGAAAACTGTCTGGCATTGTTCTATCGAAAAAAATGTGGTAGAGCAACCTCGGTTTTTGCGAAGTTTCCTAGCGAATTTAAGTTTCCGTTTTCTATTTTTTTTTTGGTGTTTCTGTTTCGTTTCTATTTTTGTTGCAACAGTTGTAAATGAGATTTGTTTGCGTGACGGCGTAGAAAACCCATGTAACATGTACATATATATATATACGTGTTGTGAACCGTGTGAATGGGTTTTCCTAGCGAGCAAACATTCGCTCCAATTAGACGCAGAAATTAATTTTCGAGCTGCTCACCATTGAATTTGAAGTTACTCGTTTTGTCATATTTTTTTCCTGTGCTGGAATTCACGTTTGGTTTAATGTCGATCGTAATTGCTAGGCTAGATGCACACCCTGAAAAGGACCGGAATGTTTAAATTTTATTGCGGAATGATATTATGTTTATATATATTGCAGCTCATAAGTTTTTATAAATGTATGTCCGTCTGAGAGATAATTTGATTGACGGTGTCTACCGAGTTTTGTAGTGAGGGCTACAGAAATCTGTAAAAAGCAATATTTGCCCATATTTATATTAACATGGTCATTACTGACCCTTAATTTACAAGGCTAAAACTGGTCTGCTTTTGGTCTGGCTTTTCTTTAAAACCCCCCCCCCCCATTTGGTTCAACTTTAATGGGAAGTCCTTAAAGAGAAAGCAGATTAAGACAAGACCTTGAAAGAGGGCTGCAGCTCTTTCAGTACTCAGGGTGGCAGATATCACGAGGATTGGTATGGCACTCTGATGCACAATACTGCGAAGTGGAAGGCAACGGCAAACCACCAAATTATGATATTCCAAGTAAAACACACCAAACTTAAATGATGGCGTCCTCTGGGGTAAAGCATTCCGGACATTAACTAGTTCCCCATTCAGATGTCCGGGCGGGGACTACCTCGGGGGATGTCATCAATAAGCGCAACTGGGTGTTACAGGCGAATGATAAGGATACCGTGGATAGAGAAGGTTAGAAATAAAGAGGTATTAGAAAGAATAGGAGAACAGAGGACTCTATGGAAGTCAACCTAGATTGGTAGGACACCTTCTTAGACATGAAAGTCTAGTCAGAGGCATATTAGAAGTAGAAACGGGAGTTAGGAGGGGTAGAGGTAGACCTAGATTAGATATGGGTTGTTCTAGTTTTAGGGAAATGCGAAGATTAGCTCAGGATAGAAAAGAGTGGAGGTGTGTGTCCATCCAGTCTTAGGACTGAAGACTTTATGATGATTATGAAATTAAACTGATCTATTTGATGTTAGAACTAGGACTGAGGACAAACATCTCTCATAGCTATTAGACCATAGGATAAT